TGCCTGCTCACACTCAGAATGCCAGAGGGTAAGGGAGGACAAGGAGGCTGGTGGTGCAAATGGTGGGAGCTCCAAAATTAACATTCTCCAGCAAGCTCTGTGGACATGAGTTTGAGTCTCCATCTGCAGCCATGTTCTCTCCAGGCAGGCACACAGGTGAGGAAACATGGCAAGTCTCACCATAGCATTCCCACACTCCTGTACTTCACTCAGCACAGGGAACTGTGACAGACTAACCAAGATTCCTCCTGCTGTTTGTTCAGAGCCCAGCCAGGGTTTGGCATGGAAGCATGAGCCTTTTACTTGGCAAGGGGAATGCAGACACTGGGTACAGGACCAAGGGAATAGACAGCTGTACCCTCACCAAAGGCAATCCCCTCCTGATAGCTCACTGGGAACCAGAAACTATTTGGCAAACAGGTATGGGTTTGATTACCAGTGAGGGCGACGCTGGCCAGTAGACAAAGCTCACCTTTTGCTCAGCAACTGGCTGAGCAGCAACAAAACAGGAGACAGAATCTAGACCCACACCTCTCGCACACAAGAGAAGTTCTCTGACTGCTCACTTAACTCGGTGCATGGGAACAGGGCACAACGTAGAGCATTAGGCACCCCACAGCAGCTCAGCTGTCCACACCAGCTACATGAGGCAGGACAGGGAAGGATGTAGAGACAGGCATGGCCAAGGTTGAAGGGCACCCACAAGACTTGGGGTGTGTGTGAGGAATTCCAGCTGAACCCCCAAGCAAAGCTCCCAAGTTTTTCTCCATCAAACTTCATTCTGGAGGATGAGCTGCCGCATGCTGACTGGCTGTCCTACATGCACATTATTTTGGCTAGCAATCTGCCATGTGCTATCTCACTCCTGCATGCTGGGGGCTCATTACCACTGCTTGTTCCTGTTGCCCAATGACCTTTGTGTTTCAGCTGTCCCTGCCCACCTCCTCAAATGCAAGCTTCAGGGCTTTTACAATACATGTGATGTGAGCCAGGTAGGGGGATCCCCAACCTGAAGCACAGTCACATGTGCCATCAAGGGACTCACCTTAAAAACTGTTCCATTGATCTGTGTGGCTACAATTGCTGCAAGGGAGGGAGGGGTTTCTGCCTTCCATCCCACATTGTTTTCCCTAGTAGAAATGGCCACTGGGGGAGACGCATTTGCCAATTTGTCTGGTTCCATGAGTCCTGGAATCAGGTGATTGAGAACATGTGAAGCCTGAGAAAGACAAACAGACCCCTTGCAGCCATTTCTAGTAGGGAAAATTATGCTGAGGGGAAGGCAGAAGCCCCCTCCCCCAGAGTGTTCAAAGTCACGCCAAGCAACAGTGCAGTTTGTAAGGTGAGTTCCCTGATGGTCCATGTGACTGTGCATTGGGTTGGAGGACACCCAGCTTGGCTTGCATCACATCTATTACATAGCTAGGCCCTCAGAAGCCAGCAGTGGGACAAGAGAGTATGCATCCTTAAGACCCTTCCTCTCCCTCCCCCTTGCAAGAGCATACTTGGGTCCCCCTTGGATAACCCCTACCCTGCTAGAGTGAACTCCATACTGAACACAGCTGGGGATGGGAACTGAGCAGGGGGTGGGAACTGAGCCTAATTTGCCAAACAGAGACACAGCTGTAGAGAAATCCACATGTTTACTGAACAGCATCAGGAACACTGAAAGCAAATTAGATTGCCAGGTGGCAGTCTTGTTCTAGTCAGGCTCCTGTGTCTTTGCAGACTTCACCAACAGACTACAGAGTCATGGGTAGAAGCTGTCCCAGTCCCTGAATGCCTATGAGACGGTCAACAGTGCCGGCTGTACAACTGTGTGAGCAGCTGATGGCATGGGAGCTGGGCTGGAATGAGAGTTGGCCACAGCAGACCAGCAAGATCTACATTGGTCACCACAACTATTGGTCATACTGTAGACTCAGCCAGTGGCTGGCACACTGGGAATGCAGTCTTTCATGGCCCTGGCCTTTTGGATGGCTGCCTGTGTAGAGACCAAAGAGACACAAGGGTAGTAATGAGTATTGTTCTGGACAGCAAAGTGACAGTGACTGCCAGAGTTCTCCACATGGTCCTGCAGCTTCCCCTCTACTTCGGAGCAGGTCCCCACATGATGGGTTGCTCCTGTTGTGGCATAATCATCAAGCCATCATTTAACTGTCTGTTGTGGGGAGTTTCAGTGGTACTGTGCTAGCAGCGCTGTCTGCTGGGGAGCTAAAGGCAACAGAAGTGTTTGGCCAACAGTAGCACAAATAAGAGAGGGGGAGCTGGTAGTTACTCCAGGCTGCAGTGAAGCTTCTTGTGTTCACCCACCTGCAGGGGAAGGGAGCAGCACCAGCATGGTATTGTTCTGAACGTATGGTACTGGAATGCCAGCTTTTCTGCCAGCCCTCCCCCTTCCGTTGCTGTATGCACCTGTGGGGGTCAGGATAGTTGAGGCAATACACAGAAAGGGGGCATGGAAGAAGGTTACAGCAGTCCCAGGAGGGGGCAGGGACTCCCTCACTTTTACTTACCTGTGCAGGATGTGTTGGCCTTGCCCCCTCCATTGGTGTTTGTATTGCACCCTTTGCTGTCTGTATTCTGGGATGGAGTATCTGTAAGGGTTCTGAGCAGAGCATTGTTAGTCAGATGCAGTAACAAAGTTTGTTCTGTCCCCTGGCTGTTTCTGCTAAGTACCCTTTGTGTGCAGTTTCCTCCACCGTAATACAAGGCTGTGTGCTCTAAGAGTGCACAACATGGATCAGCCACATACAGCTCCACGTTGTGTGCCCTATCATTTGAGCTATGGGTGTCCTGGCTATGATTGAGGTAAGGCTGGGGGGAAGGGGCTGCGATCGGCTGCTGACTTATTTGGCATCCTAGTGTGCACCAGTGCTTGGGAAGGTGTGTGTGTGGGGGGGAGCTATTTTTCTTCTGAATAGGCTTCTATGAGATTGATCTGAGCTACATCAGGGTTTTGTAGTGATGTAACTACCGTTTAGGAGGCTGACTAAGTTCTGTTCCACTCACATCATGCCCATGTCCCTGATGCTGCCCAGTTCTGTATTGGCATTGTGGTTAAACTGGCAGGATGTTGGCAGTTGCCATCCTAAGCCCTTTCAAGCCACATTTTAGGATTCTGCTATGCTCTTCTGCTTTGGGAGGAAAATGAGATCAACTCTCTTCCAGCTTAACAGATTTCTTCCCAGTTGCCCAGAGGAGGTTTTGTGCAACAGGAAAGCAGGCATGTGGCTGCACCATCATGTCTCATCTTATACCTTCACAACTGCCGCCGCCTTACATAGTTCCCCCCGACTCATCGTGGACTAGAAACAAGGAGAGGAAACCTAATCCTAAAATGGTGGGAAGTTTTTTTGCTCTTTTTGACAAAGGATGTTTATATAGTCCAGTACTGGAGTAACATTTAAAATATATAACTTTTTCTGGAAAAAAAAAGATTTAAGAAACAAGCTTGAAGGCTGACACTTTTGGAGTTATTGTAGGGAATGGTGCAGGTATCAGTTGTTTGGTCTTACGATGTTCCCACAGCTGTGGTCCTTATTGTACTCATGATGGTAACAGAAAATTCTGGCAGCACATCCGAGGTATGTTTGAGTTTTGCTGGGAAAATTTGATTTTCCTGGAGGCACTGCTTTTAATAATAAAATTCGGAGATGTTGTAATAAGGTAGGTTCACGTACATTACTCTTTTTGTACCTCTATTAGCATACAGTATGAATGTAACACACATATGTTGATATTTGCATCATACTGGTCCACTAAGGCAGGGACTGGATGCAGGAAATTGGGGGAGGGATTTCACCTAGAATCTATGGTATACCAGAGAGTTTGCCCTCTGAAGCTGCCATTGTCCTCCAGTGGAACTGCTTTCAGTAGTATGGAGATCAGCTGTAATTCTGACAGAACTCAAGGCCCCACTTGGAGGTTGGGAATCCTATGGGAAGGCAAGGTGTGATGCCACATAGTTTGTGAAAATGAATACACATCATGATCTGATGCCTCTCTACTTTGAAGCAAATCCCACTAAATTCAACAGGATTTATTCCCAAGTAACTGCAGAGAATTACAGCCCAAGTGACAACTGCACAAACTAAGCACCAAAGACATGTTTGTCTGGAAAAGTTCCTTTCATACTTGAGTAACAAGGTGGAAGGAGCATTTTCATTCCATCTTGTGGAGGCCTTCTTTCTCACAAGCTGTGTGATGCAGTAGCAGATGCTGGCAGAGTATGTTTTCCTCTGTCATTATAACACTACAATGGAACCAGTTATTTCCTGTGTAGTGTCTTCCATTCTCACAGCTCTTAAAGGCCCAGGGTCGGGGTGGATGTCAGTTGATAGACCTGTTTAAGAGAATAATCTATAGGGGAATTGTGGGATTAGTGGCCAATAGCATCTTTCTTCCGATGCACAATAACTTGCATAATCTACTTCCCCCTTAATTAAGCAACAAGAATAAAGACAGAGTTTAGCAAAAATATTTATTATTGAATAATCTTTGCTATCAAGAACAAAATACAAATAAGCATAGCCTACTGGTTGCCATATCCACTGGGAAAATGGTACAGTTCCAAACAGGCAATCAAGGGCCCACGCACAGCCAATCGGTTAGTTATAAGCATACACAGGAGCAAAAGTAAAAGACTATGTACTGTTTAACTTCTATCCTTCATATAACACCACACTGTAATTAATAAATATAAAAAAGTTAAGACTTCTGGCTTTATCACTCTCTTTTTCTGTGGATACCTCTTGCAAAAAGAAATTTCAAGGCTCAAGATCCAGTAAAGGTCTGCTAACATAATGCTCAGACCTATACATGAAAGTCTCAGCTGGCTTGTCATTTTGATTCCTTATTTCCTATATCCTCTAGAGAAAGTGTGTTTCACTGACCACTGCGGAGAAAAAAACCCTATTAATTTCTTAACGCTAGCAGTGAGCATATTGCTCTTTTTGAAATGACATTTAATAATAAAGTTTCAGATTCACTTGTTTATGTCAGACAGTTTTGCTGTTGTTTGCTGATTCTAAGTCATTATATACGGAAGCACGGAATGCCTTTACTACTCTGCTCTGAGCTTGTATTCTAGACAGCCCCCTAAACCACAAAATCTGACTGCGATTCAGTTCCCGCTCACCATAGTCGATCTCTGTTGAGTTTTCAGCTTGTTCTGCTTCAATCATTTCCTCTTTTGGTGGCCCCTCACCGACTTCCCTCAAGCACAGCAAATACCTGTTTGGAATACTTATGATTAGCTGTCCCCACAGCAGTGTCCCAACACCAAGGAAGACTGACCACAGCCACTGATCTAGTGAAAGTTCTGCACAGCTAAAGGGCTTCCCTCCAATTTGAACAATGATGACTTGCACAATCAACGTTCCCAAAACAACACAACAAAAAATGGCATTTGTGAATATTCCTTCAAACACATTTCTTTCCCCGTGGATCTTTCGTGCATTGATTTCATTAAAAATCTGCATCATTACAAACGTATTAAATACAATTGTGTAATGTTGGGTCGGTGGGGCCTGCATGGGTGCACTTCGTCCATTTTCAATATCAAACAATTTTTCACCTGCAAAAAGAAGTCCAAAGACAACTACAAGCTGATAAAAGGCATGGCACAAAATGCTTTTCAGCATGGTACGGGAGATGAGGGGTTTATTTCTACCATATGGTTTCCGTTTCAACAGAGCTTCTGTTGGCTTTTCTGTGGCCAAGGCAAGAGAAGCAAACGTATCCATGATGAGATTGACCCAAAGCATCTGAACAGCTTTCAGAGGGGAATTCTGGGTGACACAGGCTCCTACAAAAGCAACAAGTACTGCTACTATGTTGACAGTAAGCTGAAACTGAAGGAATTTGGAAATGCTGTCATATACATTCCTACCCCACATAACTGCTTTAACAATGCTTGAGAAGTTATCATCTGTGAGAATGATGTCAGAGGCTTCCTTAGCTACATCTGTGCCAGCAATGCCCATTGCAAAGCCAATGTCAGCCTTTTTTAAAGCAGGCCCATCATTAGTACCATCACCGGTCACCGCTACCACTTGCCTTTGTTCTGTGAGGTTGCTGTTAATGATCCCTTCTACCAAGATGTATTTGTCAGTTGGTGAGGACCTTGCAAGCACACGAAGCCGAGGCCAGATCTGGTCGAGCAGCTCTTGTTTAATCACTCCTTCAGGACTCTGTATTCGTTTATTAAATTCTTTTCCATCCAGGCATATAAAGTTATCCTCGGGTCGCAAGATGCCACATTTTACAGCTACTGCACGAGCGGTGTCAATGTTATCCCCAGTGATCATACGCACAACAATGCCAGCATTTTGACATTTTTTTATTGCAGCAGGAACTTCAGGTCTCACTGGATCTTCAATACCTACAATTGTGATGCATGTCAAGTCCTTGATAATGTCATCCTCATTGTCCCATTGTGGTTCTGAACTGAAAGATGAGAAATCTCTGAAAGCTAGACATATGGTTCGGAGTCCCTCATTGGCCATCGGTATGATCACATTCTTTACTATGTTGTCATAGTCTTTTTGTGTGAAAGGTACAGGCTCCCCATCACTATTCAATATCGTTCTGCATTTGTTAAGGATTATTTCAGAAGCGCCTTTGGTGAACATTTGATAGCTACCGCTAGCGTTTCTCAAAACTGTGCTCATAGATTTCCTGTCAGAATTGAAGGTGTACACTTTAAACAGTGCCTCCTCTGGTATTTTAGTCCTTACAGACTCATAATTCTGTTTTAATTCTACAAGAAAGCCCAGCAAAGCACATTCAGTCTTATTGCCAATATGACGGGGGAGGCCACCACTTTTCTCAGGAGTCAGAATTTTAGATGTATAAGCACAGTTTACAGAGATTCCTTTCAGCAGATAATTCATAATAGTTGGATGAATTAAATTGGGAGAAGGAATAACTTTATAATGTGTGCCACCAATAAAGGCTTGGACCACTGTCATTCTATTTATGGTTAAAGTTCCTGTTTTATCTGAGCAAATGGCTGTTGCGTTACCCATAGTCTCACAGGCATCCAAATGTCGCACTAGGTTATTATCTTTCATCATTTTCTTAACAGAGTAGGCGAGTGAGATTGTGACAGCAAGTGGAAGGCCTTCTGGCACTGCTACAACCAATATCGTAACTCCAATAATAAAGAACTGCACCAAATATTGTATATAAATTGGTGTGCATTCAACAGTCCAAATACGCTTCTCAATAACAAAATTTTTAATTATAAAAGATCCTGTTAGGACAGAAACTGTGATTACAGACATTGCCAGGCCTGCTTTGCCAATCTGAACGGCTAATCGTGTAAGTTTTGCTTGAAGAACAGATTTTTCTTTTTTGTGTGTCGTTTTTTGCTCCTTTTCCATTTTTTTGTTTTCAGAAGCTCCATGCTCCTTTTTCTCAGGGGGCTCATCTGTTTTTTTAAGCTTTTTGCTGTTTTGCTTTGTTTTCCCATTGTCCCCCCCCACTCCAAGTAAAGTGAGGATAATTCCCGTTTGTGAATTTACACCTACGGCTGTGATGACCATTCTTCCAGAGCCTTCCATCACGTGAGTACCTGACAGCAATATGGGATCCTCTGTCAAAGACTTCTTGACAAGATCCGACTCCCCTGTGAGGGAGCTCTCATCAGTTTTCAGATCATGCCCTTGGAGAAGAATGCCATCGGCTGGCAGAAGGTCACCATACTTGATCTGTGCAATATCCCCAACCACTAACTCAGACACTGGCACCTGGATTACCTGCCCTCCTCTGACGACTGTGAATTTCTGTTCACTTTCAATGCGAAGTTGCAACCCCCTGAATTGTTTCTCTTTACTCCAGTCATTGAAAGCGGTTACCAACACCACGCAAACTACTGACAAAAGAATTGCCGCTCCTTCTATCCATTCAGCCTCTGTAGCTTCTTCTTCTTCTTCTTCTGCAGTGTCACCTATATGACATGCTGCCGGTTTTGTTCCTGCTGGATGATAAAAAGAAAGTCCCAGTGATATAATGGCTGCAACTTCTAAGATGCATAATGTCATATCCTGCAATGCTTCCCACACTAACGCCAAGAACGTTAGTGGTTTTTTCGGGGGTATAAAGTTCTTTCCAAAGATAGCTTTCCTGAGAGCTATTTCTGCTTGGGAACCCACTATCCCATCTGTGGGAGAAGTCTTCAGCAGTGTACATATTCTGTAAACCTCTCCATAATTTTCTTTTATTTTGTTAACTGCATCTTTAGTTCGTAATTCCATCAAATTACGCAGCTCTAGGACAGTGATCTTGAAGTCTGTTTGTTGGTCTGGAGCCACTCTCATTCTGTCTTCCTGTAAATTACAAATGACAACCCAGATTATTATTATTTTTTTTTTAAAAAAATAACATTAAAACAGAGTCATAGAACATTTTTTCCCCTTGGATTTATCTATAAGAGCACTTGGATTCATTCTCTGGCACACAAAATGGGAAGATATAGACAGCCTTCCAAGTATACTTTCAGTACCATTCTAAGCAGAGTTTCACCTTTCTAATCTAACTGACTTCAAGAGACTTAGAGGGTATAACTCTGTTCAAGAGAGGGCTTTGTTAATCTAAGACAGCAGTTCTCAACCTATGGGTCGCAACCCCTTTGGGGTTCGAACGACCCTTTCACAGGGGTCGCCTAAGACCATTGGAAAACACAAATTTTCGATGGTCTTAGGATAGGGCTCACTATGCTTTAATTATGTTCAATTTGTAACAATGAAAATACATCCTGCATATCAGATATTTACATTACGATTCATAACAGCAGCAAATTTACAGTTATGAAGTAGCAACAAAAATAATTTTATGGTTGGGGGTCACCACAACATGAGGAACTGTATTAAAGGGTCGCGGCATTAGGAAGGCTGAGAACCACTGATCTAAGAGATCTGACTCTCAAGCCCTGCTCTCTGTGCCACCCCCCCCCCTCCAGAGGTGAGGCAGGTAGTGACTAGAGACAGGGCATTTTTCTGTGCTGGCACTTTGCTTATGGGATGTACTCCTCCTTGAGACTCACCTGGCAACTACTTTGCTTTCTTTTAGGTACCAGGCTAAGAACATGTCTTTTCACTCAGGCTTTTAATTAGGAGTTTTATCTTTCCAGCTTTTTAATGGTCTGCTCCTGTTTTATGGATAGTTTTAAAAAATTCTTCTTATGTCTAATGGCTTTGTGTTTTCATGACGTGTTTAATGCTGCATTTTTTAATTGTCCATTGCCTTGAGCAGAAATATTCTAAGTAAATAAGAGCAGGGGGAAGGCAATTTTAAAAAACAAGGACTGATGTAGCAATGGCTAAGAAACAATAATGAAGTAGAAAGTCTCTGGTTAAAATCTTACCTTTGCCACAAATTCACTATGTGACTTTAAGCACACAATCTTCTCTTAGTCTCTGCTCTGCATCCCCCCCCCCCCCCCCCGCCGGGATAATGAGATGCCCTGCATGAATTTATTTATTTGTATTTCGCTTTTCTCCCCAGTTGGGACTGAAAATGGTTTAGAACATTGTTCTCCGGTCCTCTGCTTTCTCACAACAACAACCTTGTGATATAGGCCAGGCTGAGAATTTGTGAAGGGCCCAAGGGCAACCAGTGAGCTTCCATGGTAGCAATGGGGATTTGAACCTGAGTCTCCAGGATCCTAGTCCAACACTCTGTCTACTATGCCATGTAATAAGATAGACTTACTTTCCTGGGGGAAAAATGACAAGATGTGTGTGTTTGTGGAGTGAGGTGAATAAAAATCAATTAAGTTTTTAATTTTTTAAAAAAGTATAGCTGCGTATAGCTGCATCCTAATAAATTGTTATTGTTATTGCAACAAATTACTATGCGTTCCAAGATAATTGATTTAACTGGCCTCTCTTTTTAGTGAGTTACATGGTAACTTAAATCAACCCATCCTGATGTCAGTGAGCATACTAAAGTGCTATATAAACACTAAATATTATCAGGGTTATTTTTGGGCAGGAACGCACAGGAACGGAGTTGTGGCTGGCTCCCAAATTGGCCACGCCCAGCAGGAACTCATTAGCATAATAGGCCACACCCAACAGCAGGAACTCATTAGGACTGGCTACATTAGGAATGTGTGGCCTAACATGCAAAGAAGTTCCTGCTACAAAAATAAGCCCTGGGTTTTGACAACAAACAAGGTAAACAGAATAAGAAGCAAAAGGTGGGTGTGGCTGAATGACCACACTTCTGGTAACATGGAGGCCTAATATGCTAATGAGCTGTGCTGTCAGGCATGTGACCTAATATGCTAATGAGTTTCTGCTGTTGGGTGTGGCGTATTATGCTAATGAGTTCCTGCTGGGCTTTTTCTACAAAAAAAGCCCTGAATATTATTATGATTGTTGTTATGGTACTATACATATGTATGCTCAAGTTTCTATAACCTGGTGAACAAGCATATATTTATAATATAAAAATACAATACAATACAATGCAAGTATTATTACTCTGTTTAGAACATGTCCCAGATGCAGAGGGGAACACAGCTGTGTACATCTTTCCCCTGGAAACTGTCGGCCAAACTACACGTTATGGGTTTTGTTGATTCAGGTTCCCTGGACTCTGCTCGCATTCTCATAATACAGCACATGCAGCTCCAAACTGGCGTGAACTGCTACTTCCACAGCTATTTTTTTTTTGGGGGGGGGTTGCCACAGGTTTGGGAAAACAACATGGGGGGGGAGAAGCCCCTTCTCCCCCCCAACACATAATTGTCCTGAGCCAAATTGGGCTCCTATGGATTTTAAACACTCCTTTCCCTGCAGCTGCTGTGTGACTGGGAGAAAAGTGAGTGGGGAGCAGGAAACCTAGAAACTACTTGCCAAAATTCATAACAGGTAGTTTGGCCCTGACATTACGAGATGGAGAAGCTCATTTCTCCATGTAGCTCTTCATCAAGTATCTCTTAAAATGTCTTCTGGTATGGCAACTGTGAGGAGGATTCCTCAGTGCCTTCCCAAAGGGACCCTTTGCCGCCACCAACGTTGTCCCTGAGCCAGCAGGGTCCTCAAGCCAGGAGGCCCCAGCACGGACACAGTCTTCCTCAGGACCCCAAGAGCAGAGAACACAAAGGGCTAGGGCCGAGGCCTGGGTTGGGAAATTCCTGGAGATTTTGGAGGTGGTGCCAGGGGAGGGGTGTGAACGTAGCGGAGTATAATGCCGCAGATTCTGCCCTCCAAAGAAACCATTTCCTCCAGGGGAACTGATCTCTGTCAACTGGAGACCTGTGGTAATTCTGGGAGGTCTGTAGGCCCACTCCCCCAGATGTTGGCAATCCTACGTGCAAAAGTGCACCCCTGGCAGCCCAAGGCCTCCCCTCTGCTGAGGAAGCACCAGGATAGACTAATGAATCACTGCAGTATCTGGGCTCTGCTACTCCTTGTCAGAAGAGCAGAGGAGCTGACTCAGCTTCTGAGATGAGCCTAATGCTGGA